TTCTCCCTTTAAACACAATCGTACGGTCCATATCAAATCGTAATGAATGGTCCAAATTCACTTCCTATTTAAACACGATCGAATGACCCAGACCAAATTGCGATGAACGGTCCAGATTCACTTCCTATTTAAATGCGATCAGAAAGTCCAAATCAAATACGATAGACGGTCTAGATTAAAAAGAGACGGGTATAAATACCCCACTTCACACCAAGCCTTAACCCTAGCTACTAGACCCCCCGCGGGAGAAGAAGAACCAGTCATTGGGAAGGGAGCCAACCGCCTCCCACTACCGTGGCGGAGCCACCTCCGATCGCCAAAAGAGGTAAAAAAATTTTCATTCGCTCAAAATTCGATTTTGAACACTCCCATGGCCAAATTGGAGCAACAGGACCGGCTGATGAGCTGGAAACTGCAAGTAAAGTCTGACGACACTGCCATAGGAAAAATAAAAAATTGGCTCCGATGAGGCCCTTTCTGATTCTCATTTCATGTAATTTTTCCACCATTGTATTCACCATTTTGTTTCTCACAGGTTGACCGAAGAAAAACACCCAACCGCGAAGGTAATCCAGCAAAGCCGCCGCACCAAAAAACTCCACCGTTGGTAAGCTTCTGTTTTTTGACTTTTTCAGCCGACCGAGGCCCTTAACATGTTTCCTCATAGCACAAAACTGGCCAAAAGCGGTCAAAACTGGCCAAAAATGGCCAACCCGAGGCAAACCGCCACCATGCGCGATGGTGGCGACGGCGCCGTGCCAGAATTTCAGAATTGGCCGAAAAGGGTTTCTAACACCAATTTTGGATTTTTTGGGGTATTTTTAGGTACTTGGAACGTGTTTCAATCTCCAAAGAAAATTTCAGGGAACCTAGGGACCTTCAGTAGGTGTAGCTAAAAACTTCGCGTTTCGACATCAATTCGGGTAAGAATCCCTTGCCCTGTTCCCTGTTATGGAGTTGAAGTTTAATTATAAATAATGTGGTATTTGGTACAATTTAAAAAATATCAATAATTAATCACAGGTTATTAATGGAGTCAGAATCGACTATTGTTCACTATTGATCCTGTTTGATTGATTTTACTATTTCAAATGCATAATATTATACTGGAGTTGGTATGATGATGTAGTTGTATTTCCTTGATGCAGGTATTGCTTGTTTTGCATGATTTACAGTTCAATTGTAAAATTAGAAATTAAATGTAAATGAGAAATAGTTTGCTTAAGTCAGTGAATGGATGGTAGCCTTACTAGATATCCTGGGAGATGGTGGACGGACTGAGTATATAAGAAATCTTACCATGAACGTTGCCTTATACCGGACAGAGTATGGAGGATTGGTACTTTAGCGCTCATACCATATGGGGTATAGGGGCAGCACGTTTTACCCTCATATTGGATGGGGTATTGAGGGATGGTATTTTTAGTGCTCATACCGGACAGGGTATAGGGACGACCAGTTCATTGAAAAAGTTGAATAAGGGTTAACGCATAGTGGGGACATCCCTATGAACCCCCATGGATACCAGCAGGCAGATAAAAATGAAAGATTGTTGTTCTGGTTAATTGTACATGAGATTATGAGATTATTTGTGCCATTGCCTCCATAGGTCAATTTTGAAAATTTTACTACGGTAAGTGTACAATGACTGATTTTACTTATGATAAATGAATTTACTTAAAATAAAAGCTCCATTAGTTATTTTCATAATTTTTACCAACTTTCATTTCTGTATCTGTGAGTAGTGTGACATCCTTGCTGAGTTAATATAGATCACTCTTTCATTAACCATTTCAGATCAAGAGGACCAAGATCCAGATCTCGATCCATAAGAGGGTTGCGAGTAAGACGTTCAGTTTGTTTACTTTTCTTTTATTTCTTTGATTATTAGTTGTTCCTTTAGAAGGGTCATTCTCATATCTCTATTGGGTATTCAAAATTATTGTGTAAGGAATGTAAACCCTAACACTTTTAATTCGTTTCCGTACTTAATTTATAATTTACTTTCTTTTAAGTTTTGGGTTGTTAAAGTTGGTATTAGAGCTGCATTCCTCGAAACTATTCTTACACAAAAATCCTAGAAAACACCAACGAATGAATTATCACTCAACTATTTCTTGTGAAATGCAGGTACAGATAGATGAGGAGAGGATGTAGTAACTGGATAAAAAAAAACGAGAAAATTGGTATGTATGGTAAATTTTAAGTTCTGTATAGGTGTAGTGTGGCTTTGAATTTGTGATTCTAGGTTGAGAAATCTAGGTTTGGTTTGGTATATAGAGTAGAAAACTAAGATGTAGGGAACAAGCAGGTGTGGATGGTAGGTGAAATCGTGGGAAGAGAGAGAGTGAAGAAGCTGGTGAGTGAGAAAGGTTCACGAGAGAGTGAGGAGATTTTGTGTAAGAGGAGTGGGAGTCCATGGAGGAGGCCACGGGAGGAGAGAGTGAGTGAGACCGTGAGAGCGAGGAGTCATGTGTGTGTACGAGCGGGGTTCATAGAGAAAGTCACGGGAGGAGAGAGAAGGAAGAATGCAGGGTGTGAGCGTTCTATGAGAGAGATGAGAGTTTGTGATTGTGTGATTGTGAGTCATGGTACTTTGAGTAGGCTGTGGGAGGAGGAAGAAGGAGGAGTTTGGTGCGTGAGGAAATTTGGGTAAAAGGAGAAGTGCGGTGTGGTTGTGGGGAGAGGTAGGCATGGAATGGGTGGAGTGTGTGTATGCTGGAAATTAGGGAGAAGGAAAGGGAGGCCTGTAGGGCGTGGGTGTAAGGTATCGGGATAGAGGTGCGTTGGTATAGTTGTGTGGTGTGAGGGTGTGAGTTGTATATAGGTTGGTATAACTGCTATAAATTTAGGAATTAGTGAGGGAATATTACCGGCGTGTATGTGTTAAATGTTAGTGTGTGTCCTACGGGGAGACGCGTGTAGGTTCGGTATACAGGTTAAAGGTATAGGAGAGCTTCAGGACAACATAGTGAAGCTAGAACGGGATGGTAGTGTTCTTGAGTTGGTAGCATTAGGGGGACGCTGATATTGGTTGTCGCTACTTAGAAAGAGTAAGTTGATCTCGGATAGTGGTGATGGTCGGGAGACTCTAATGGGCAAGGGGTTGGCTCGCCGATATTGGTGATGGGAGGGAATTGTATCTGTGTGTGTGTATTGAGAGATAGAAGGTTGATTGTTGGTCACCGATATTGGTGACGGGTGAGAACATTTATACGACTGGAGTGACGTCAGAAGACGGTCACACTTGGTATGCAATATAACTAAATTACCGGGGTAAGTTAGTTCTGTGTAGTCCTAGGGTGGTATTAAATTATGGCTTAGGTTGTGTAGAAAGGGTATATATAGAAATACTGGGTTTCCTGTTGTTGCATATGATGCCTGTAACAATAACTAAATTACCAGGGTAAGTTAGTCCTGTGTAGTCCCAGTGTGGTATCAAGGTATAGCTTAGGTTGTGTAGATAGAGTATATATAGAAATACTAGGTTTCCT